ATTATTATATAATATAACTATATAATATAATTATTATCTCTTGTTAATTTAAAACATTTACAAATGTATATCTTGTATGCGTATATGTATTGGTAGGCTATATGTAGAAATGAGCATATAAATATATACTCTAAAAGTAATGTTCATTGTCCTTTCATGTTGGCTATTACAATAATGTTAACGCATAGGTTCTGTTTGTGAAGTGTTGCCTCTCGTTTTTGCTCCTTCTGCTTATGATCGCATTGTCTGATTTTGATATTTTGGATATATACATTTTCTGGTTGTCAGCACTCTGAATCCCATCATCGGCTCTCTAATGACTTTAAGATCTAGCTGAGATAGATTTGCACACAGAAAATCTGCCTGCCGCATGAGGTGCTCTGAACTGCAAATCAGTCTCCCAACATAAGGACATAATTTTCCTTATTGATCCTTTAAAAAACATTTTCTAAGAGCTTCAAAGTGTCTTGTGTAGTAGTCTGTACTAATTAGTGAAATATTAAACACTCCTAAGGAGAACGAGGGGTTGGCCCAGAGGCACTAACTCTAACACAACTACAAAATTATAAAAGGCAAGATGGAGATAAATTTAAACTTGTTAGAGTAATTTATGGACAAGAAGAAGAAAAAATAAAGTCACAAGATATAATGAAGACAATTTAAATAGGAGCAGCATATTTAAAAAAATTCTAGTGGCAAATTTCAAAACAAATGTTTTTAGTATCTCTCTGGTGGCCTAGTATCTGGAGTATCTTTAAAGATTAATTCACCCAATAACTAAAATGAAAATTATTAACACTTCTTTGTCAATCCAAACTGACTTCCTTTCTTCCAAATATATGCATTTTGAAGAATTTTCACACTGCTTGTTCTCCATTTTAACAAAAGTATATGATCAGGTGCTGTCGAGTTCCTTGATCTCTGCCATAGCTTTCAGATTTTATTGTTGATCGCACATATTCAAACTTGCCACAAAAAGGAACTGGTGTTAAGGACTGATGAAACGCTTTTAAGGTGCCTTCTTTATTTATTTTTTTTAAATCCACATCCAGCTTATCCAATTGTTTATCCCAGGGTTCTCAACTCTGGCCCTCGAGGTCCACTTAGCTTAGCTCCAACCTTGATCAAACTCAACTGCCAGTAACTTTCTAGTGATCCTGAAGACCTTGATTAGCTTGTTCAGGTGTGTTTGATTAGGGATCCCAGAAAATAAACCGTGGAACTTTGACCAATGAGAGAACAGTTTACTTGCGCGTGAGTTGTATTAAAAAATTTGGTCTGTTTAGAAACTTTGCCGTGTGAAAGCGAACCACACCAAGAATAAAAAGCAACATTGTAATAATTTTAATCCCGGTTTCGGAACAAAGCAATCGATCTACAGGTGTGAAAGCACCCTTACACTCTGCAGGAAAGTGGACCTCGAGGGCCTGAGTTGAGATCCCCTGGTTTACCCATTATTAATGGTCAGCTTCCAAGCGGTTCCCAATCCTGATCCTGGAGTATGCCCAACTCTGCACATTTTTTTGTCTCCTTAATAAAACACTTGATTCAACTTATCGGCTCATTAGTAATGACTTCAAGACCTGTAATGGTTGTGTCAGATGAGAGAAACATCCAAAATGTGAATTGTTGAGGTACTCCAGGACCAGGTTTAGGAACTACTGCATTATATTAAATATACCAGCATAGACATTCATCAAAACATCTTTCATAAGGTTTTGGGTCAACATGAGGGTGAGTAAATCATGACAGAATTTTTCATTTTTAGATGGACTGCCACTTTAAATTCACAGTTAAAATGGACATACAGCTGAACCCACTCAGTTGGATCGGGCAGAGAAGCGGGTAATGACATCACCAAGGCAGGTCTGGCTGGAGTGTGTTTCTTAGATCAGGCTCATTAGAGTAAAGCCATGCTGTAAATAGGATTAATCCAGGCTTCAGTGTCCCTCACTGCCCTAGACCTGAGGGCACTGACGCAAGCCTAGAATCTAGTTTGAACAGCCATGATGCTTCTCTCTGGATAAATAATTTTTTTTGTGAGCAAAAAATGTATAGGATGCTTTTAGATGGATGTTATCCATCTATTCCTATGATGTTCCATCCCTGTCTCATCATGTTCCTATCTTTTTTTTTTTCCAAGCTGATCTTAATGGGATCATATTTCCAAACTGATCTTAATGGGATCATACAATAGTGGGATCTCTACTCTCAGGATTCTGACTGATAACTGTGAAATAATGCTTCAGATGTGCAAAAAAGACACTTTCAGGCAGAAATACATTGATATAATCAGTTTTACAGTGACTGTCTATATTCACACAGTCATTGTTTGGGATGGATAATCATATTTACTAAAATATGTGACTTGAATTGTTCCACTCATACAATAGCTTACAATAGTGGTTTGAATACTTGTTGAATGAAT